CTGCTCTGAGCATGTGCATCTTCTAATAAAGTGAACACCTAGTGTGCCCTTAAATTCTTTTCTTCTGCAACATGTCAAAAGCCTGGAAGATTTCAATAGTGGTCTCCTCTGCCTCTGCAGAGACCTCCTTGGGCCCACTAATGGTGACACACTTAATCCCCATGAATGTGTTGAAAACCTAGCCACTCCCTCTTTGCTTCACTTTGGTGTTACCCAAACTGCCTCTTGCAGAAATGCTTTAAATTTTCTAGTTGGTCCTCCTGCCCTTCCCCAATTTTCAGCAGAAATCTAGAATTCCTTCTGGTCATTGTAATTGGAATTTGTAAGTGGGTATTCAGTACATGTGTGAGCTGGGATCCACATCTGGGCCCATGATGCTGTTCCTGTTCCTGGATGCTTTGACTCCGTCCTTCACACAGATTGGTGTGTTTCCCTACAGCCCCAGCCTCTGCTCCCCAACACCTACCCCACATGTACCACCTGCCCTCAGCCTCCTAGGAATGTTACTGGGGTAATTCAGGGGTTACGTTACATATCTCAGTTTTTGTGTTCTTTCAGGAGAAAATTTTAGGCAAGACATGAAGTATTTATAGAAGTATAACAGAGTTTACTAGAAAAGAAAGAAAAACACCCTCAAGGGAGAGTATGGGCTGTCTCTGAGAGAGAAACTGGCTCCCCTTTGTTCCCTGGTTTTAGTGAGGAGAGTTAGGGAAGTTTCTAGAGAGTCCCGCCAGGTAACACCTCCCCACTCTTGAATGACAGTAAGATTGCATCTGATCTTTAAGTCCCTACTGCACATGGTCTTACCCACAGATACCCTAGCAAGATCCATAGGCCAGAGGCAGAATTTTACTATTATCATGACATGCTAAAGATTGAAAGGCACTCTAGTTTGCTCTGGTCCAGGCTCTCTGGTTCTAATTGCAACTTGTTCTTACAGATTTCACATGGGCTTTGCTTTTAATTATCCTGTCCTCCTGAGCCATGGAGTCTTTGGGCTATATAAAGGTCACGGAAGTCCCCCTTCAGAGTAACCTGTATTCTCTTCATAGACACAACAGATTCTTTAGACCAGCATTTCTTGGCCCTGAGAATAGCTGGGCAGATAATAGGTTGTTTGTCAGGGGATGTGGCATATCCCATTGATTTAAGTCAGAGCAGGGCTGGAGTGGCTTTAGGTAAATTGCTTTTGGGATAAAATGTTTTTTTTTAATAGAAAATGTATGGAGGTCTGACTTGTAACCCAGTTTACAGAATTATCCCCTTAGCCTTGTGTTCCAATGGCTCACGTCCATCCGCTACTTATCAGGAAGACCATAGACAGAACCCATCACACCCCAGCACTAAGGGTGGGTCAAGGCCTCCAGGGTGGCTCTTGCCCTGATGTGTTTTTATTGTTTGTTTGTTGGTTTGTTTGTTTTCATCCCCCAACCAACATTGAGCCCCGGAGAACTGAGCTGGTTAAAATTGAATTGGTTCTTTCAAAGGGATCCAGACATCCTCTACAAGGAAGATATTACTGAAGCCCTCTTGGACGTTAGCTTTGTCTCACTTCTATTTTCTGTGCTTGTTCAAGGTCAGTCTCCTAGCAGACTGGAAGTTTGAGGAGAACAGAGGTGTCTGTGTCCTTCACCACCATATCCTCAGGGCCTTCACTGGTATATCTATGCTATGGGCACATAATTTTCTTTATCAATAAGAAATAAAAGCCACATGGATTGAACCAAAGGCATTTTTTCTCTTTTTTTATTTTTAGCACATGATAGTCATACATAATAGTGGGGTTCATTTTGACATATTCATAAATGCATTAGTATAATTTTCTCCATTTTGATCCCCAATATTACTCTTCCCTTACTTCCTCCCTCCCCCTGATCTGCCTCCTCTACTCTAATGGTCTTCCTTTCACTTAGACCAAACTATTTTTTATTGTATTGGTGTTCATTCTTGAAAATGTATAAAATACAGAAAAGAACAAAAAGGAAAAAAATCTCATCCAAAATTCGTATGGCACATTCCTTTGCAAGTTTGTTGTTGTTGTTATTGTCTTTCCTGTGTGTATGAAATCTGGTGGCCTATTTTCCTTGAATGAGTTAATAGCATATGTGTTTTCTTTCACTTTTTATTTCCTTATATATTAAGCACCTACTTTGTGTATCAGGTACCATACTGGACACTGTAGATGTTTAAATGGGGTCTCAGAATGCAAGGCAACAGTTTGAGACAGAGAGGCAGGGGACATAATGAAGATGAATGAATACCACCCTTCAAGTTCCCATATGTGGGGAATGAGCTTGAGACTAACAAGAGTAGCCAAAAAGAGAAATTAGCTCTTTATCTGGTCCCTGTTACACTGGGCATGTCAGAGAGGCTTATTATATACGACAGGAGAACTTCCAGAAAAAGCCAAAGTAATTGTTTTTGAATGGGGCCATCCCCTAAACAGGCTTTCTGTTAAAAGACATCCATGTTTTAAAAGTGAGGATTGTCATCGAATTTTTTTATATCTGCTTGCCAACAGATCAGAATAGATGCTGGATGCAATGTTGGAACACAGCCCAGAGGTGCCTGGTGTGTGGTATCATCATACTGACCCCTTAGTTGAACCATCACAAGGAGGTTGGGGAGTCCTAGGAAGAGGTTGGGTGGCCAGGTAAAAGGTAGGGGACACTCAGAAGGCATACAGCTGCTCACCAACTGGCACAGTAGTGTTTCAATGTTCTAAAAAATACACCCTGTATCAGGGCATCCTGGCAACCAACTCCCCCAGAGAGAATATCTTCTATTCTCCAGTCATTTCTGTACATTCTGGCTATTAGCCAACCTGCTGCCTTTGACCTTAGAGACAGGGTTTGCTGTCCTTTGAGCTTGAACAAAAGGAATATAATTTGAACAAAAGGAATATAATTTGAAATGGTTTCAGAGTCTGCTATGGAGGATGAGCTGAGGCTGACTCTGAGGCCGTCTTTCCAGAAGCTCCTCCTGGAAGATTCTCTAACAACTCCATCTCACACTGGACACTTCTCTCTTTATTTTAATCTTCTTTACATTGTTGTGACCAAAATACCTGACAAGAAGTTAGAAGAAGAAAAGCTTATTCTGGCTCACAATTTCAAAGGTTCAGTCCATGGTGGGCTGACTCCAGTGCTCGGGGGCCAAGATGATGGCAGAAGGGCATGGTGGAGGAGTGCAGCTCCGTTCATGGCATCCAGGAAGCATGAGAGAAAGGGGAAAGGGCTGCGGGGAAGATGAGCCCTTGCAGGGCACGCCTCCAGTGACCTACTTCTTCCAGGCATGCCCTACCTACCTACAGCTACCAGCCAGTTAGTCCATTCAAACTTGAATATGCTGATTAGGTTATGTTTCTCATAATCTGATCACTTTAACTCCAAACATTTTTGTGTTAACAAAGGAAATTCTGGGGGAAACCTCATATCCAAACCATAACACTCCTCTTCTGACATTTTCATTCAACGTGGGTGATGTTGTCAGAGTACCACATGGCGCCAGAGCGGAGAAAGAAAGCTTAAAGGGTGAGGAACAGACAAGAGTTCAGTAAAGACCTGAGCCCTGAACATCCGTTAGCAGCAAAGGCCAACATCTCCCAAGAGAACTTCTCTTGATGACCCTCTATCCCAAAAGCCCTATTTCTACATCCAGACATTCTCTAGGTAGGCTTGGTTGCCAGGATCTCCTGGTATAGGATATGCTTCTAAGAACATTGAAACACTGCTGTGCTGGTTGAAAAATAGCTGTGTCTAGAGGATAACAGTGTCCTCTGATGGGAGGACTAATCGAGTTGATATGTACTGGGACAACATTCTCAGCTTACCCGTAGTGATAACTATGGCACTCACCCTCAAATCTCAGCTTCCCTGCTGATTTGGGAGAGATACAAATAATGAAAAGAAAAATAAAGGAAAAAAAAATAAAGGAAAAGAAAAAATAGTGGAATGAATGTGACATAATTTTCCTATGTACATAGATGAAAACATCACAGTGAATCCCACCAACATGTACATCCATGAGACTGGGACCTTAACTAGAATAAGATATAATCCATGCTTGTATAATTATGTCACAGTGGTTTCTACTGACATGTATAACCAAAAAGGGAGCAATAAATGTTTTAAAATAATTTAAAAAAAAAAACAGTTTCCCAGTGTATCCATCAATTATTTAGCAGAGGATTACCCTAGGACTGTCCCAGGAGCAGGCCAAGAAAGGACAGGCAGGGCAGGCATGTATGCACTGAGTGGGGGATAAAAGCTCTGAGAAGCAGTGCTGGAGCCAACCCTCCCCAGCCCCACCCCACTCCTGGGTTACGTTTCTCCCAGCCTCCTGCAAGTACACAAACATAGTGGTCCTTAGAGTTTTTCATAGCAAACATTGTTGGTAATAATGAACTTACTGTTTGTGCTTGCAATATTTGTATGCTTGACAGAAGCTCTGGAAATGGTTGGAAGAGGAGTGAGGATATTGAACTAGGAAAGGAGGAGGTGAGTGGGAGAAGAATGTGAGCTGGATGGCAGTGATAGTAGCCATTCTTCAGTGCTGAGGCACAAGACACTGGAGCGGCTGCTCACAGCCTCCTACTGGTGGGGCTGCTAGATACAAGGACCAGTTACCAGAGAGATCAGTGTAGCACAGCTGTAGGCAGCAGAGGTTCAGATCACCTCTCTGCCAGACTCTAGTTATCCAACCCTGAGCCAGTTTCTTAGCTTTTCTGCATCTCAATTTCCTCATCTATAAAATGGTCCTATCTCTTAGGGCTTCTGTGACGATTGAGAAAGATAATGTTTGCAAAGAATTTAGCACAGCCTCTGGTACAGACTAAAGTCTTTAATGACACAAATTTGCTTTCTTGTGAATTATTTTATCATAACGTATGTAATAGTTTATTTATTGCAAACTTATGGACAAAAAAAATCTTACTTTAGGAAAGGCATGGAAAGAAAAGACGAAACAAGTTATAATGTTGTCTAACTTTGCTTTTATAGGAATCATGGAAATTTACACTAGAGAAGGCAAGACAAATTGTCAAGAAATCCTCCACCATGGTAAGCAATCAGAGGATAGAATGCCAGCCTTTCCCTTTCCATCCTGACCTCTCACAGCCCTGCTTTCACACCCCAAAGGCAAGGGCTACTCTGGATACAAGCCCACCACATGCTACCGTGCATTGGGGTAGAAGTAGGAACTTGAGCTCCTTCCACTTTCTCCTCCTGCCTTCTTTCTGTAGCAGAGGTTTCCAGCCTCAGACATTTCGGATTGATAATCCTTTGTTGTAAGGGCTGTTATGTGTTTTGTACTATCTAGCAATATCCCTGTCCCCGACCTGCTAGATGCCAGCAGCACCATCCCCCCTTCCCCAAGCTGTGAGGCCTAAGAATGTCTCCTGACATTGCCAAGTGTCCTCTGGAGGGTAAAATCACCCCATTTGAGAACCACTGCTCCAGTAGACCATTCAGGAGGAGATTTCATTCTCCTACCCCTCTGCTTTCTAAGAATGTGACCTCAGGCAAGGGGTAAGCCCACTTCACTAAGCCTCAGTTTTCTTGTCTGTAAGATGGGGTGATAGTGCCTCTGATGGGGGTACTAATCGAGTTGATGCATGCCAAGCACGTAGTTCCATCCCCAGGACTTACCAAGTATTCAATAAATGTTAAGATCATCCCCATTACTAGTCATCCCCCCTAATTTGTCCTCCTTGTAATGACACTTATTCAGCAAATAGAATGCTTAGTTTAAATAAATGGTTGCAGATTTAAATGTTTGACTTAGACTCTGATGGCAAATCAGCCCCAGCTGAAGAGGAAGGATAAAAGGAGAACTTTAAAGAACAGTATCATCCCCGATGCTGGAGACCCTGGCAGTAAGAAAGGATTGGTCAGAGGGAGAAGGTGTGGTCCTTTCCCCCTCCCTCTGCTTGCTAGCCTGCTCATCATTCACCCTGATGCAATGCATGGAAGATATTATTGATTTGATAAGTGGAAATAAAGGGGAGGAAAATCACTTACATCGAGGTTTACCAGTTTAAGCAAATAAAGATATAGGATATTCAGGAAAACTTAAAATTTCAGATGAAATAGGACTAAATTTTTAGTGTAAGCATGTCTGGTACAATATTTTTATCTGGCAGCCCTGTGCGTGGGGGTCATATGGGTTTTGATGTACAAGGCTGATTCTTGTTAAATGGCAACATGCAGGCATTTCTTCGTAATTGGTTAATCAATCACAATGTCTGCTTTGCCAGTCATTATCCAATTCAGTGAATAATTAAGGGCTGACAGTAGCCAGTTCAGCTAATCTGCTTAACTTATTCAAGAAGAAATTGAAATACCATGAGAAACCCTCAACCACCACCTCAGAACTCTGAGCAGAAATGGAGAATAATAGAATTTGTGTTTTGTTCTTCTCAATGTGAATCTGAAAACTTATTTTCAGAGCATTGTTTATTTTACTAGCACAAACTGCCTTGGCATTAACTCAAAGGCTAATTAGGACTTTACAATTTTTTTTTCTGTCACCAGAATTGAAAGAATAATTTGTGAGGCAGGATTCCAATAATTACTTCCAAGAAGAACAACAACAAAAAAATCCACTGAACAATTCAACAATTAAAAAAAAAAACTCTCCAGAAGCCTCCCTCAATTTATTTACTCTCCAGATTAAAACTATCGAGAAAAAAAATCAGAAAATACAAAATACAAATAATGGTCTCTGAAAAACTGCTTAAAAAATGCTGGCTGCAATGAATTCCATGTGACAACTGACATAACTGCAGGCTGACCAGGACATTTAAAGCAATACATGGTAGGTTGCACATCTTTTCAGCAAAGCCTGTCAGACTGTAAGAATCCAGACTGGAGAAAAGTTATATATTGTTGAAGAGAATCAAATGCTCCAGAAAAGGTCTGATCTCAGCGAGGCCCTAATAGGCTCTTCGAGGCTTTTCCTGGATTTGGAAGAGCACCGAGTCTCTAAGGGTTCAGAGGACCTGTGTTATGGAGTCATCTTATTATTTAATTCTCACTTCCACAAAAAAAAAATATTATCAATCTCATTAAAGATGGTAGGACTGAGGTTCCATAATTTGCTCACTCTTTGTAGCTAGTAAGTGAGAAAACCATCACTTAAATCCAGAGCTAGATACCAATATTCTTTCCACTGTGCCAATAGCTCCAATCAGATTTCCTCAGGGCTGAACTTCAGGGAGCACAGTCAGGTCACAGGTGGTGTCGATACTGGAATCATTCAGGGAACAACCTGTGCAGCTATTTGTGAGGTCCCTGATCACAAGTCTCAATAGAATCCTATGAGAAGACTTTAAAAATTGCTCATATCCAAACCCCAGCATAGACCAATTTAATCCAGATAACATAGTACACGCCCCCTCCCCCCCCCCCCCACACACACACACACAAAAAGGTTGAAAGGCACTTCACCATGCAGAAATTCAATTTCAGGTTAGCTTTCCTCCTTTGACCTTCCATTTATGCCATTCACCCTAATTTCTTTATTCAAACCCTGTTTGTTATTTTGCATTCATTTACTATCCTGATGTGTGGGGACGCTCAGGAAGCAAGTGAACGCTGGTTAAATAGATTGCAAAGTGAAGATGGGGTAGTACACCTGTCCCCAGGGACGTCCCAGGTTTGAGGCTCATTTTAGATGGGATCAGATGCAGCTAGATGTGATATTTTAAACCCATTCCTGAGTTAATAACAGCCCGCATTTTGGCTGTACACAAAGTTCAAAATGAAAAGAGGGAGCTGGCAAATGGTAAGCAAGGACTGCTGCAGTGTTGCTCTGGATCTGTCTCGGTTTGCTTGGCAAGTAAATTGCCCGGAGTAGGGAAGATGGCTTGGTGACAATTGCCTTTCCCCTTCTATGTGATGAAAAGACCAGCTAATCCAAACCTCTATATAAACAGAAAGTGTTCTGGGGGGTCCCTGAGCAAACTAAATCATCTATCTTCTATCTATCTCCTACTTCCTAACCCAAATTTCTGCACTGTGAATATCAAAGACAGCTTCAAGCCTTCAGGCTGGATTTTGACAGTGAACAGCTGTGCAATTATAAAATTTTATTCTATTGTACCTCTTGTATTGTAATTATAAGGCCGTTCAATAGAGTTTTTTCTGTGTTGGTTATCATCAGTGTTAAAATCTACATTGTCATTAGGTAAATTAGATCAAGGCCTTCAGAGTAGATATTAAAAGTAGCTTGAACATTCAAATGTAACCTGACTTTGGAGTCAGAGACTCAGAATGTGTCTGTACTTACGAACTGGCACCAATGTTTTGCATAATTGCATGCTAGTGTTTGATTTATAGTGTGTCAACAGTCCTGATCTCAATCGGAAGCCAAGTGTTTGAATTTAACCCTCTAAACACCCTTTTTTTTTCCCACTGCCTCTACACCCCACCCGATTTTACTTCAAAGTTTCCAAGCCAGTGCTAACTTTTTCCCTCACACCTAACCTAAGAGGGACATTGATTACAGTCTGGAGACAGATTTGTGCAAGAGGCATTTAGTGGGTAGAGGACCTTACACAGTACACGAGACAGCTTCACAGTGGAGGCTGAACTATTAGGGCAATAGTGCTGAGGTTAGGAACTCTGGGATCAGGATCTCTTATCTCTCAGGGTCTCTTACTCTAATGGGATGAACTATCCCATCTCTTTGCTTCTAGGCCATCTTTTACCCCCCAGAGATATCCTTTTGAGATACAAATGTGATTGCTCTGCCCAATGCGATGGGTTCAAGGCTTCTCCACTGTCCTCAGGGTACCCTGTAGGTGCATAATAGCCTGACATAATGCCTCCTTTCTTCCATGATTCAGACACTGAATGTTTGTCTGTCTCCTAAGAAAGATGCCAAACTTTCTCACACCTCCCCAGCATTGAGTGGGGTGCTCCTGCTGCCAGGATCCAGGCTCCTCCAGCTTTAGTGTGCCCTCTGGGGACCTTGTTGAAATACAGATTACATTGCAGTAGGTCTGAGGATGGGAGAAGGAGACCTGATACTCTGCATTTCTAAAAGCTCCCAGGTGCCATCAATGCTCCTAGCCCATCATCACACCTTGAGCAACTGGGACCCAAAGCAGTGGTTCTCAAACCTTAGTGGGCATTGGAAATGACCCTGGAGAGTGAGCATCAGGATGACTTTTAAGGCTGTGAGAGGACAGATTCCTGGGACTCACCCCATGGCAGCTTGTTCAGTAGATCTGGGGGGAAGCCTCTGAGGATTTGCATCTCTAGCAAGGCTGTGGGCTGTGCTTGGCATCGCAAAACCTCAGGGTATTTGTGTCTTACCTCCTACCTGCCTCCTTCCTTCCTGGTTTCTGGGTCATCTGGGTTTTCTGGGTCAGGTTCCTAGAGAACCCCGATAATGCCTCCACCTCTGTGGACCCCATAGGGAATGCCAAGAAGTAGGACATCCACCCAGACCCTTCACTTGATGGTGGGCTAAAGACAAAGTCAGCCTGTCTCTAGGCCTTGCATAGAGATGGGGGCCTAGTCAGGATTGCTTCTACTCCTGGAAGGATCGGCAGGCATCGCTAAGACCTTTACATACTCCATTGGTATTCTGAAAAGGTTACCAGTTCTCCTTTGCCAGGGGCAGAGTATCCCCAGCACCCATAATACAGCCCATAGCCATCTAAAGGTCTCTTTGGGCTGGTGGGAATTGACTCATCTTTCCCTTCGTTGATAATTGCTGGTTTCCAACGTTTTCTACCCTGTAGCCTTCTCTTTCTTTAATAATCATGGAAACTGCTATCTTTCTAAAAGTACTGCTTAATAAAAAGCCAGGGGTTTTAATTTATCGCACATCTGGGTTCTTATAGAAACTACTATCTAAAATCCCCTGTTCTTCACAACTCGCAGCTTCTTTGGGGAAAGGGCCTGCCTTCATCTCAAGCCTCCAAGCATGTCTCTCCATTTAGTCTTCATTTAACCTTTAATAGGATGGAATATTTTATTTGAAAGTGCCTTTTTTCCCCAAATCTTTTTTCAAAGCACTTGGGCAAAGGAACATTTTTCCATTAGAACCAACCAAGTCAGGCCAGATATTTTTGGAAAAAGGTGAAGAACCAGGGCAGCCATAAAGGTGGGAATGGCTGGCTGGAATCTAGGGGAGGGGGGTGCCTTCAGGCTGAGGTCCCAGCATGGATCAAGGCACAGGAGGTGGGATGAATATGGGGTGTGAGGACAGGAACAAGAGGTAAATCTAGATAAGTGAAATGGAGCAGACTCTAGAAGGAAGATCCAGAAATCTGGACCACCGAAGAGACCTTAGGTGGGGAACCATTCCTTGAATTAAACAACTATATTTATTTATGTATTTATTTATTTCTCTCTCTCTCTCCAGCAATATCCTAGAAGTGGTTCCAATATTTGTTCACTCCCGTTTTTGGCCAAGATCTGTCAGAAAATTAAATTGTAGGTATTCTTTTTCTACCTCCCAAGCCTATAATAACATCTTCACTTCTTTCTGTTTTCTAATGATTAAAATGATACTCATATTTAAATGTCATCTTCCTAAAGGTGACAGTGTTTCTCGCTTAAAATGTGCCTTGTACCGAAATCACAAGACAAATTGGCTCCAAACAAAACCACTTTGGAAATAGATTGTATTGACCAGTACCTTTGAATCTGAAAGCTTGCTTTTTACCCCATGCCAGAATGCAGGGTGCCAGTAAGGCTTTCTGTGCAGCTCTAACACTTATTGCATGACAACTGGGGACAGTTCCTTCTTGCCATGTAAGATTCAGAGCAGGTCAGCCATTGGTTGTGGCTGGGACTCGTTGAGCATCTTTAGTTGCCAGGCACTCATGAAGTTGGAAGGGGGCTGTTTTTCACAGAATTCTACCTGAACAGTCTGGCTCATTCATACGAGTAGGATTCCAAACAGAAAGACAGTGTCAGAATTCCCCAATACTGCCCACCACCACTATCTCAGTTCAAATCCCATATTCCGGTTCCCTTTGGCATCTGGAGTTAAACTAGATATCATAGAATCACTGTTCAATATGTTAAGAGACAAACAGTGACTCGAGAAGGACACTGGACTAAAAGAAAAAATAGCATAGATCCTTCCTTCCTCAGTATGGTAGTCGACTTTCTATTACTGTAACAAATACCTGGGATAATCAGGTTAAAAAGAAGAAAGTTTATTTTGGCTCAGAGTTCTGGAAGTTTCAGTTCAAGACCAAATGGCCCTGTTGCTTTGAGCCTGAGATGGCCCAGTCCATCATGGCAGGAGAACTGTACATCACGGTAGAGGAAACCTGTTTAGTGCATGGCCAAGTGAGAAAGAAAGAGAAGGAGGGAGAGACCAGAGCCCCACAATTTCCTTCTAGAGCACACCTGCAGTGACCTAAAACCTTCCACTAGGTCCCACCTGTTAATGGTTTTCCTACTTCCAAAAGACCAAGTCTTTAACACATGGGCCTTTGAAGGAAGTTCTGGACCCAAACTATAGCCTCAGCGACATTTAACATGCTTCTGCTGCTGCATTAGGGGTGCTCTGCTGGGTCTCCAGTAATGGATTTTCAATACATTTCTTCATTTGGTTCTCACAACTTCACAGTAGGGTTTATTATTATTCCCATTTCATGTAGAAGGAAACTCCTCCATGAGTCCCACTGCAACCTCTGCCTTCATCTTCCATGTGGCCATCGTTCCCGGGTCTTCATCATTTCCTTTCATAAGGACACCAGACATACTAGATTGTGGCCTACCCTAATGACTTCAAACTAGATTACATTTGTAAAGATTCTATTTCCAGATAGGAAAGGCCACATTCACGGGGAGTCAGGATTAGGACATCTCTCTTTGGGTGAACATAATCCCACTCACAGCAAACACATTTTCTAGGTTCTTCCAGCCTTCTCCTCTTGAGCTTCCTAGGAGCTAAATCCACTGAATATCTCCAGTCTGTTGTGAAAATATCTGGGGTGAGGAGGATGCAGCTGTGATTCTGACCCACATTCAGATCCTCTCTTAGGGATCCACAAGTTACACACTTTTCCTGGCTCATCTGTCAGCAAGAGCCCCAGCAGCCAGCTATGTAAAGTGCTGGCTTAGATCCCAGAAACCGTCGCAACACCCCATGATGTGAATGGGGTAGATGAAGAAGCATCAGGATTTGGGAAGAAGAGGGGAAATCTCAGACATGGACAAAGATGCTGAGAGGCTGAGATGCAGCCAGCTGCCCGGGTAGCCCATCATTTCATCATATCTTGGTCCCCTGAAGTGGGACCACTGTCCCCTCCTTGATGAATGCATCACTGCATTTCCTGTATTAGCCATGGGCCAGTGGGTCTTAACAGTGCCACAGTGACAACTCTTTAATTGAACCACCTTTGAAAAATTGAATTCAAGAGCATCTGTGGCCAGGGATTTTCTTGGCCCAATTTAAAAGGGAAATTATTCTTTTATTTCAAAAAAAAAAAAGCAAAAACAGCATGCTTTTCTTCTTTTTGAAAATCATTGTGCTTCGAGTACAATTTGCACCAGATCGCAATTTGTTCAGTACTTTATTATTTACAAAATATATTTACATGCAGCTTCGTTTATTCTTTGAAACAACCCATGGCTCAGTAATAATAAGGATGATTAAAATTATCTGGTGTCTATGCAACAAAAACTGTCATAAATGCAATCTTATAAGGCAGGCATCATTATTGTCCCCTTTCAAAAGAGCTATTTGCTGTGGGTCACAGAGCTGGTGATGGATAAATCTGACTTTGGACCCAGCACCTGGTTCTCATTGAGCCCCTGGACTCTTAGTCTGATTCTTTAGATGATCAAGTAGGTTTAAATGTCTCGGACAGCATTCATTTGCCTTCAGGTTCTCAGAACTGCTGAGATGCCCTTGATTCAAAATACCATTTAGTAAATCCTGGACAGGGCCTCATTACTAACTCTAAAATTTAAGTTCCAAGAAGAACCTCACCCTGCCCCATGACTGCATTACTTAGCCACTCTCTAAGTGAGAATGGCTAAATGAAAAGCAGTGTTTGCCTTTGAGAACTGGGAAGGGTCAGGTCATCCCTAGGCTCCTTGGTTACCCAGACTTACAACTGAGAATGAAACTGCCAGCTAATGACAGTAATGCCCAAGATTCTCAGAGTGAGTGGTTGAAAAGAGTGAACATGAAAGAAAGGCCTTCTTAACAGGATGTGTAAAATGTCACAAATTCAACTTGCAGTGCTGAGTTCCTTGACTGGACCCATATAGCACAATCTCCTCTTTCCTGGGGATCTCATCAGCAATGTCCATACCCACAACTCAGTTATTCTCTTCCCCACAAGGGTCACATTAAATAACAGAAAGAAGACAGTCTTTTGAATGGAGAGCAAAGATTGGCAAAGTTTAGCTGGCACTCTGATGCAGCATGCAGATCCTGAATTTTTTTCTCAGATCAGCCCTCTGTCTAAACTCAACACAGCCGTGTCTGAAAGTGTCTCTGTTTGTTTTCACAAACCTGTTTGTTTGTTTTTATCTCAGCTTACTGGGTGTTTTGGTTTTTTTCTTCTAGATCTATAACAAATTCTGTGCCGTACAAAGATATGGACTCAGACAAATACAGTGTTTTCCCAGTAAGTATTGTTAAGAATAACCAGATGTTCGCTGAATATTACATCACTTCCTTCAGTTTTCTTCCCTTTAACAAAATAAGGCAGAATTTCATTTGAATGCATTATTAATTTGATGAACGATCCATCATTTCATGATTGTTAAGGACATTTTGGCTTCGTGACAATACACAGGACATCAAAGCAAGTCGTAGGCCCAGGCTTTCTATTTTTCTTTGTTCCCATTGCCAGCTGGAATTTTCCATGGGACTGTGGTTACCCTGAGAGGTGTTGTGAATTACTTTGGAAACTCTCAAGCCTACTTTAACTTATTTAGAAAGAGTGTATAGGTGTGAGTTCAATTGAGAACTCCGAGGATGTCAGGTTTTCTTCTGGGAAAGTAAACAAGCAAGTGACATGTCACAAAGTCCTCCAAATGTGAAGGATCTCAGCTCTTCTACTTGGGAATGGAGGAAACAAGAACATTGTTGGACATAATTAAAACTGGTTTTTGGAGGGTGGGGTACTGGGGATAGAATCAGAGCTGCTTAAACCACTGAACCACATCCCCGGCCCTTTTGTTGCTGCTATTTATTTTGAGTCCTTGTGAAGTTGCTTAGGGGCTTGCTGAGCTGCTGAGATTAGCCTCAAACTTGTAGTCCATCTGTCTCAGTCCTTAGGATTACAGGCGTGTGCTACCAATGCCAGGCTTATTGTAACTCCTGATTCTTTCAAATCAGTCAAATCAAACATATAAATCCACATGATTAATAGTTGAGCTATATTATTTGTAAGTTGTCCAATAAAGTAATTAGCCATTTGGCTAAATGTATTAATTATTTTAGAGTCTGAGAAGATTGGTGGTTAACAGAGGAATTTTAGGAAGTTGGGTGGTCCTGTTGTTTCTGGAAATGTACATCAACACACATGCATGAATGAACACATATACAATGAGCCACACATGTGCATGCACACACATCTGAAACATGCAAACACATAAATACATTCATGTTCACACACCCCATGTACACACATATGCATGCACACATACATTCCTCAATTATCTCACCTCAAATGGCATGTCCTTTCATATTAATCTTGATACATACATGCAAACACATAAATACATGCATGTACACACACCCCATGTACACACATATGCATGCACACATATATTCCTCAAATATCTCACCTCACATGGCATGTCCTTTCATATTAATCTTGATTTTCTTAATGTTCTTTAGTGTTCCTTGACTATCTCTGAATTAAAATGTGCAAATGTCAAAACACCCAAGATAGCTCTAATTCACCTTTGCTGTGGGCACCATCAAAGCAAGCCTGACGCCTCCCATGTGTTCTCTTCAACTGCAGACGCTGCGGGGCTATCACTGGAGAGGGAGAGACTGTAACGACAGTGACAAGACAGTATATCCTGGCAGAAGGTAACTCTCCACTGGTCACTGATTTCGAAAATTAGCTTCCAAAAAGGAGGCAGGAGGCATAAGTCCTTCTTGGAGCCTAAGGGATTCCCACCTACAGGCAGAAGGGACATCTTACCCAATGGAAGTAAAGCTCAGTGAAGAAAATAGCATTCATGCATTGATCTGTCCAAGAAATGTTTATTGAGCACCTAAGATTTGCAAAGTACTTTGCATCATGTTAGGTGGTAAATGGAAAAATATATATATATATATATCCCTTCTCATGGTGCTTACAATCTGTCCCCTCTGGAGTAAAGAATGGAAATCACATCAGACTTTAGTCCTGAGCTGATGTTTAGCCAATCACTTCTCCAACTTCAAAAAAATGGATATGCCAACCTTCACTTGTGCTGTGATTACAGTGCCAAGGCATTGAATTACCCAAGTGTTTGGGCATTCTTGAGGCACCATTTTAGCAGCTTCACCTATTTATATAAAATAGACTGCAGATTTGTTCATTATGCTCACCAGCACCATTCCAGAAGTCCATGAGTATAGTCAATCATGAAAAAGACTGTATTTGTTTCAGGGTTCCCAGTAAATACCCCAAACCAAGTTTAACACAAGCAGTCCCACAGAGGCTTCTGTGTCACAACACCCAGCAACAGGGAACGCTCTTGGGCATGGTTGACTTTCAGTGGCATTTTGTGTAGCCTTCATTCCTTTATTCACAAAACTAACATTCACTGAGGGATAAGCATAGACCAAAATCAATGTGGATTTTTTTTTTTTAAGGCCAGACAACTGGGACATACATCGGGATTCAAATTGTAATGGCATTTGGGTAAGTGCTAAAATTCAAGTTTAACACTATCTCTTACTTTCTGCCTTCCCCCAAAGCCCACTGCCCATTTGCTTTAGTCACAGGTAAGGAAGGAGATGACAGCCCATGAGAACTCTTCCAGCTGCTCCGAGGAGGGTAGAGAGTTTGCATCACACATGAAAAGCATCCGTGATGTGATGAAAAATGAGGGCTCTCAGGGTCACAGCCCTTTCAGTTTTGCTCATGGTCACCGTGTTGAGTGCTTTCATTCTGTCTGAACACTGTGAAGTGAAATGGGAGTGGTGTTCACAAAGTTTTACAGCAACCCACACAGCTGTTGGAGCAAACCACATGCTATCACCATTTTTGGCTGCCATTTTTTACCTGTTTCATCAGCACAGTCAGGCAGAGTAGAAATTACCCCGTATTTACCTCGCTATCCACACCTCAAGGCATCTGATGTTGGTGTCTCAGTTCCCTGTGAATAATGGGTTTACAGCTCCCAGGTAGAGAAAGGGAAGGAAGGAGGAAAGCCAACCAAGTATTTATCCTTGGACAGTAATGGCAGAAGACTCAAGTTTTACAATCTTAAATTTACACAATTTGAAAGGTCCTTGTGAAGAATTAAAAAAAAAAAATACCAACTTACAAATATAAAATGAAATATGAAAGAAAATAATTATTTAGTACAATAAAAGAAATCCTAAAAGATTACAGAAGCTTAGAAATTTTAGACCCTTTGATTTAGTCTTTTCCAACCAACCAGAAGTGCTTACATGGAAAGGTATCCTGATTATAGTGTGGCCTCCTCTCTTCACCTAGAACATTCAGTAGCTCCCAGTCACTCCCAACATTCACACTGGCAGGAGCTATACAAACAAGGACCCTTGAAGCTTTAGATTCCCTGGTTTCAAAGGAAACCTGCCTGGATGAGGAAGAGAAAATTGCCATAAACATTTCCCTATCCCAGGACACAAATGGCCTGTGGTTTCTGGGATATGAAAAGCATGGCAATGATTTTATCCCAGCCCACACCTCCCACCCTGTTCTCAGTCACATTGCTTTTTTGTGGAGGAAGAGAAGCCATCTCCCCTAGAGCTTTGAGGTGTCAAGAACCCCAACTCAACTCTTACTCAAATAAAACCAAGTCTCATTCTCATGTTGGGGTACTATGGGGGCTTATCAGGTTACATGGCTGCCATCCTCATTCCATGTTCCACTACTGCCTTTGACATGGTGTGCCACCCTACATAAAGAGCAGGGCCATGAAAAGACCAGAGGAAACCTAACATGAGCTCAGGGAGGCAAAACTCAGTGTTCATATGAATAATGGGAGAGATGCATCGCCTTGCTACCGATCCCTTCTGCAGCAAAAATGACTCACAGAATCACAAAATCGGGAACAAGGAGGGGACTTCACAACCATCAGAGCCAACATAGTCCCAACTGCATCCTCATGATCAAGTGTTGAGTGTGATATTAATAGGTATGGAGGGAGGGGCTCCGTCATCTGGTTAAGTATAGGGAGCCATTGGGCCCAGTGAAGCTGAACAGTTCTCTTTCCTTCTGGACTCAGCATCTTTAATGTTTTAATATGCACTGGGAGCCCCCAAAGGCCAGGAGAGTGGGCATGGTAATTCCAGCGCATCTCTGACTACCCAGCACTTCTGTCTTGGCATATTTACTATTCATGCCCCTGGAAGGGAGATGTTAGGAAGCTTTTGATGTTAGGAAGCTTCAGCTGCGGCAACTCTGTCCCCCTCACAGATTCAAATTGCCTTCAGGTTTCTGAATCTTGGCACTATTGACATAGGAGTTACATAATTCTTTGTTGTTGGGATTGTCTTGTAAACTGTAGGATGTTTAGCAGCTTTCTTGGCCTTGACCACTAGGTCCCAGGGTGACTCCCACCCTGTTGTGACAGACAAATCTGCCTCCAGACTTTAGCACTGTCCCTGGGTTGAGTGTGGGATGGTAAGGTATTGGGGAAAATCAACCCTGGTTGAAAATTCAGCTCTAGGAGTATCAATATTTAGGTGTGGTAGATGCCAGAACAGTTAGGTCTCCAGCTCAGGGACTGCAGAACCTGCCCTGATCTTGTGTGACACTCATGGGGCCCTCAGTGCTCCAAGGAGGGAGACCGTTAGCTCATGCACCTCTCCCCCAAAATACTGCCCTCAACCCTCTGAAAAAGGAGACCCAGCTTCTGGATCTCTCCTTATTCCCACTCCCAGTTCCTCTTAAACCCAGTTTACTCTCACAGTGTTGCTCTGTTGGATTAGGGACTCAAGAGACTTTAAAGGTATTAGCTTTTAGTTCTTTGTTTATCCTGGAGATTAATGCTCTATCTGAGGCAGATGACAAAGATTTTCTCCCATTCTGTAGGCTCTCTCTTCATGTTCTTGATTGTTTCCTTTGCTGCAAAGAAGCTTTTTAGTTTAATACCATCCCATTTATTGATTCTTTATTTTACTTCATGCACTTTAGGAGTCTTGGTGAGGAATTCAGTTCCTAGGCTGACATGATGGATAGTGGGGCCTACATTTTCTTCGCGTAGGCGCAGGGTCTCTGGTTTAATGCCTCGGTCCTTGATCTGTACAACCACAAGAATGGGATCCTAATTAGAATAAGTTATACTCCACGTATGTACAATGTGTCAAAATATATTCTACTATCATGTATATGTAAAAAGACCAAAAATACATAAAAGACTTTAAAGGATTTTATTTATTGATTTGCTTTTTTACTTCTAACAGTCAGTTGGAAAGGATTTAGTGTATTTGTCTCATAATTTTTTTTAAAATTACTAATCTCATCATTTCTCTTTTAAAGGGTAAAGATCCCAAAGATGGAATTCCATATGAGAAGAAATTCTGTGAAGGTATGAATTGTAAAAGTCAGTGTGCTTATCACAACAGAATGTTGTTTTCTGGTTAAGTCAAAAAGAACTTACTTTAATTGTATTATATATAATTATGTATTTAATTATATTTGTTTTCATGACAAATCAGAAAAAGACCTGAGAAAGAAATAGAAAAGAAAGCAGAGTCTAGAAAATGCCCAAAACTTAATTGTTTCATTACAAAATGTAATGATAATTTTAGAAGAGGCTTCAGGACGGATAACAGAGTCTTGGAATTTTTCCCATGGGAAAAAAAAATCTGGGATTTTTCCAAATAAGAAAACAAGGAGAGGCACCAACTGAAATGTTTCATCCTTGGGAAGTCCTTCTCAATGCACTACAAGTTCAGACACTATGACTTGCACTGATGGAACAAGTTCTTGTGTCCACTGGGCTAAAGATACACAGAAAGAAAAAAAAATCTGAATTACTCGAGGGGGCTGCCAAGCTCTAGCCTGCAGGGGCTTCCCAAAGCAACTGAGCAAAAGATCTGTACTCTAAGTGTCCAATGCCATAAATATCTGGGCCACCAGTTCAGCTGGGAGAAAGCTCACCGCCCACACGACACCTGGAAACAGACCCTGAGGTCACATCACTGCATCTATTGAGCAGCGTTTTTCTCCCAACTTTCAGAAGCTTCTCACTCCCTCAGTCATTCACCCATTCATTCCACAGGTATTTCCTGGACAACTATTCCAGTGATGCACCAAGGGTTAGACTTGGCTCAGTGTTTCCATGGCAAAAAAAAAAAAAACATAGCCTTTAGGCTCTCAGAGAAGCAGGAAAAAGGATAGGAAATGTAAAGGCCCATGACATATATATGCAACTTAGAAAAAATAAGCACTGTGGAAAAAAATAATTATAATAATAAAAATGCAGATCTAGATGAAACCCTAGACCTTCTAGAGTCACTGAGGGAAGCTCATGGATTCCCACATCCCATGCCCCTCTTCCCTTCCGGATATCCTGGCTATTTTCAATTCCCATCTGTATGACCAAATTGAAGTTTCCATGGACACTCAGACTAGGGATCCACCACTGTAAGACTGGGCCATCCTCTGGCTTCACTGGAAAGGTTTGGGGGGAAAAGGAAACTTCCCTTTCTGCCACAGGGAGGCAACAATTGACTTTCCCAGCTTCTTACGGGATTCAGAAGAGTATATCCATAGATGACTGATTTGTGTGGATGGGCCACAGAATCAGATTAAGTGATTCTTACCTCCAGACACACAGGCTACATGGAGACCTTTCTATCTTCATCTCTCCATTAATCAGCCAGAATCATCCATCCAGTGTTTTTGTGTACATGGATTAAGGGCTTTAAGAGACCACAATATCTTTGAAAAAAAATCAAAATTGCTCCATGAGGTCATTAACTCTTAAAGTGAATTGTAACAGAAATTGGTGTATTTTCCAAGAAAGCCATCTCCAGGACCAAAATTTAGGGCATGTTTCTGAATCCAGATAAAATTTTGATTCATTTATTCATCCATAATGCGCTCAGGATGTTGTAGACCAGTCAGTTTTATGCAGAGCTGAGAAACACACCTGCATCTGTATAGCTTAGCTCGCAGTTCCAATGGCCTAGAAATTTCATTCAGCTCCTAAATGCTGGGCCCCTCACACCCTCCAACACACAAAAAGCGGTAATGTATCACTGTTACGATGAGCTGTGCACAGAATAACATGAGGCTATCTGCTCTCATAACTACCCAAGCTGGAGCCTCCCAACCACTTGAGTGCATAAATAATGTAAATAAATTGTGCTGCCTAGGTTCACAGCCCAGGGGAATCATTTTGCTGGGAGACTCAGCTGGGGCTCATTTTCACATCCCTCCCGAATGGCTCGCAGCTTCGCAGATGTCTTTGGTAAGTAATTTTGGCAGTCATCATTCCGGATGCGCTGGCCTTTGTTTCTGTTTTCCCTTGCTCTCTCTAAATGTGATGCCAACTCCAAACAGGTGCAAATTTCCCTGATCAGCAAAATCTGCCATGAAAGGCATATCCACAACCATTTTAATTCTAGGCAAACGGAGGCAAAGGGTTTCTCCTACTCTCCAATTTCAGTCCAGCTGCTGCCAGAACCCTAAAGATGGCAGGTGGGAGACAAGAAGAAAAATGGCGAGTGCACAGAGAGGGCACAGGCAGCTCCTCGCTTCTCATGGAGGTCAGAGGAGCAGGTTGGGGCTGCTCCAGCTTGGTTTCTGTCTGAGGAAGCAAGATGGGGCTGGGTGGAGCACACTGCTTGGCTCCTAATGGCCACCAGTGTGCTCTATCAAGGGCAGCAGGGGACAGACAAGCCTCCCATTCCTCCCTGAAGAGTAGTGGGATTGAGCTGGAAGATGTTCATGTGAAAAAATGAAGGCAGAATCACTAATAAGTTCAAACTCATGGAAGGAAAGGAAAGGGGAGGGAAGCCAACTTTCGTTGACTCTTATCAGGCATCTGGCACTAGGAGAGGGATTCATGCATGTTACTCAGATGATGAGCCTGTATATAGTCACCCCTCATATCAGCAGGTTCAGCATCTATAAATTCTACCAACTGCAGATAGAAAACATAGCTAGGCCCATTATGGCTGCATCTGTACTGAAGTCGTGCAGACTTTTTGATATTATTCCCTAAACAACGTAGCATAACAACTGTTTACCGTGCATTTACATTGTGTTAGGTATTGTAATCTAGAGATGATTTGAAGTGCATCAGAAGATGTATCCAGGTCATATGAGGATCTATGCCATTTTACATAAGGCACTTGAGCATCCATGGATTTGGAGATCCAAGGGAGGTCATATCACCAATCCCCCAAAGATGCTGAGGAATGACTGTACAGGGTAGAACTATGAAGGCAACTCTGTATGTCATCAGGTCATCATCAGAGAACACACCTAACACAGCATCAGGAGGGCCATTATCTTCCCCTTGAACTTTTCAAAGACCTGGGGAAATTATGTGGCAAAGCATGGGAGGGAACAGGAAAGAGCAGTCTGAATGCCACACACCCAAGCAGGGGGTGAAGCAGTAGCAGATGGATCATCTGCAGCTTCAGCTACCTGAGGCTAACAGTTGTCACAGGGGATTGCACCAAAACCTGTGCTCAGGGCCAGCTACACAATTGGCAGGGCCCAATTAATATTAAAAATGCAGGTGCCCTTGTTCAAAAAGCAAGGGGGAAGTTCCATTAAAGGTGCCAAACATAAAGCTTTTTGCTTCCTTCAGCAGTCTCCTCTCACCTTGTCAAGGTGTTTTTCTCTTTGCCATTTGATGTCATTCTAAAAAAAAAATTAAAAATTTAAATAACCCACAGGAAGATTACGTTCATCTTTATATTGGATAGTTCCAATCTTACATGGAACTATAAGGGCACTGAACTCATAAATGGAATCACCGAAATTCCACTACTCTTATTTGGTAGCTTGTCCCTAGAGGTTGCTTTGAGCTACCCAGAAGAGAGAAAGGTAATGCTGGAAGGAGAAATGGAGGCTTCCTTGAGGTGCAGAGTCACTAGACTAAATATTCCCTCCAAACAGGGGCTACTTGGGGCAAGTGCCAACCTTCACAGGCACTGGGGTTCCCATCCTGAGACAATCAGGCTGGAGAGCTGTTGAGGTCCTCCTGCCAGTGCTCAGTGGGTCTGCAGTCCAACCAGGAACCTCCCTTGCTCAGGACCCACCACCAGTCCAGAGCAGAAGGATGATTCCCAGAGTCTTCTGTCATACTTAGATAGGGGCTGGAGCTCACTTCCCCTGCCCACTAAGTACCAGCACTGCCAGCTGGGGCAGTGGACAACTGCTTCCATGCTCAACCCCAATCTTTACCTGTCTGTGCCCAGGTTCTCACAGGGGGCAGAGGGCAGGGAATAAAAGCCTCCCTCACTGACATCCCCTAGCTGACACTGGGCTGGAGGGCACAGCAGCCAAGTACCCATCCCTGGGAGGTGGCTGGAAGCAAGATCTTGTAGAACTGAGTCTCCAACTCCTTCCTTCACACAGATTCTGTTATCCTGTTGGACCTCACTCACATAACACAAGTTCAAATAAAAGTTGTCTTGTTTTTGTTTTTTGAAGGGCAGGGAATTGAACAGAGGGTCTCACATGTTAGGCAAGTGCTCTATCACAGAACTACATCCCCAGCCCCTACAAAGGCTCTTAAGAAGTTCAGAATGGTGGTTATAATTCTGATTAAAATGTCCTAGACTAAAAAAGTACAGTGGGAAGCAAAAAAATAGACAACCTCAGAAGCCATGAGTGGACACACATCTCTCACACACTTCCCATCCTGTGTCCTTCATGACCCTTGCTGAAGAGACCACTGTTAGTCAGATTTCCATCCCTTTAATGACATACCTGAGATAATTAACATAGAAAGAGAAAAGGGTTGTTTGGGCTCACATTTTTGGAGGTTCCAATTTATGATCTATTGGCCCTGCTGCTTTGGGCCCACGGTGAGGCAGCACATCATAGCAGGAGTAAAGCAAAAGCACTCACCTCATGATCAAGAAGCAGAGGAGAGAAAGAACAGGTATCATGGTACCACGGTCCCCTTTGGAGGCATACTCCCAATAACATAAGGTCCTCCAATTAGACCTCACCTCTTGAAGTTCCCACCACATCCCAACATCACCAAGCTGGGACCTGGGGTGAAACCTGGTGTGTTCCCTGGCATCCTTGCATCTGGAGAGGGCTGCCTGAACTTCATCCCCAACTTCAGATCTTCCCACAGAGTCTAAAACAACCTTTGGAGAGTATGAAACAGTCTATCCCCCCTAAGAAACTTCTGATGCTTCTGGTCCCTCTAAATGACACTCCCCAAGCCCCAACCATTATGATGGGCACATAATTAATTTATTGTCCAAACTGGGCTGTTTGATAGGAGAGACACCACTACTAACTAATACCAGGAAAACCTGGGCTGGCCAAACAAATCTGAATGTACAGCTACCCCCACTGACAGTCTGAGAGCTGTATGCCAAGCTGACTCCACAATCAGGAGCGGTATCCAGAGAGGAGGTCCGAGCCCCTAACATACCTGTATGTATAATCACTTGGATTCTGAGTCCAGCTTGGGTTCAAATCCTGGCTTAGCCACTTATATTTACTTATTGACTCTGAGCCTTCATTTCCTTGTCTGTAAGATATATATATAATGATGGCTAACTTCTCAGACATCTAGGATAGTTTTTATGACAGGATGTTAAAAACTGAAATATTTCTTTCTACGTCCGTTTTATCTGAGGCCACCAAAATGTAGGACCAACTGTTCCTACCTTCCCTCCATCTAATTTCTTCCAAGAGAAATTTTTAGAGCACCTCTAAAATACTAGCACCTGCAAAAGAAGGAGTGAAACCAGGTCTGTAGCCTGTTGCCTAACTCCTTCCTCAAGGGCCCACCAGGGTTGAGGCTAGGGACAGCTAGTTTTAGGATGGCAGTGGGGCCCTGCTCTCCCCAAGGGGGAAGATGCAGATGCCTCCCCCCACCCCACCCACTATAAGGAAGTCACCCAGAGACCTGGATGGGGTCACCAGAGCCTGCAGCCAAGAGGGCTGATGTGTGACACCCTGTGAGGAATGGAAAGGCAGTGACAGAAGCAACAGAGCAGAAAGAGTGCCCTGGGCAAGGAAAAGGACCACATGAAAGGAAGGGGACAGTCCAGAGAGGACAGCCTGAAGGACAAGGTGACCTCACAGGGCTTGGCCTTCAACTGACCAGGGATGAAACAGCAGACTAAAGTGACTGAGGGGGGTGTGGGGAAGGCACCAACTCCACCAGGGGAGCCTTTGTCGTGAGCCCTAGGACAGTCCACACTACAGAGAACCAGATCCAGTCATCTTCCCAGACAGAGGCACTCACCCCAATGGACCTCTTCTCCCTCCACCACCATCCCCAGGGGTCAGAAGTCTCGGCCAGTAACTGCAAAGAAAGGCTGGCCAAGTGGACCACACTCCCCTTCCTGAGCACAGCTATCCAGCCTCAAGCTGGGGATGGGCTGGGAAGAAGGAATTTTACTTAAAATTATGAGGACCAGACTACCTGAACCAGATGTTTTTATTTTCTGAAATGAAATTTAACACAACCAGAGAAATGCATGTTATCTGAAAATGAGCACACGCCTAATCAGGCTGACCGGGACTTCTTCCAGGGGCAGGGGATGATCGAACACTGCAGTCTGAGTGGGCAGTGGGGAAAGAACAGAATCACCCTCTCACTGTGCCCTTGGTTGAATCTGCCAGACCCCAAGCACCAGCAAGATCACAGAGGCCCAACAACCGCTCATGCTCTTCTCTCTGTTGGTTCTGACCATTCTCAGTAGTACTGTAGGCAGGGTCTCCCTTCATAAAGGTCTAGCAGCTGATGCCCAGACCTGGGCACAGTGTGTAGTCTGACTGATGAGGGCACCCAGGTCAAATGCTGCTGGGACCACAGAAGACACCAGGAGGCTGAGCTGGGAGGGGCAAAGGAAGACAGGAAATAGTCCCTCCCCGCCTCCCCCTTTCCCATCTCCCTCCTGGGCTTTCCACTGGCAGGTGCATCCCACAGACGGTTTGGGAAGTGTAGTTGGCAGGGTCCACTCAGTATCGCTGAGCAGAGCTGCAGGCTTGGAGCTAAGGGGTGATTGCTTACCCACCATGAGCTGCTGGAACCCTTTTAGATGAAGCCTAGAGGCTGTGAGTGTCACCCCAGGGTGTGGGAAAGGAGGGAGGCAGAGTGGGTTGAAGAGTCACCAAGCACTTTAGGTGGCCAAAGGCTGGAGGGAGTGCCCTGTGGTCTGTGGGCATCTGAGGCCTGGCTGATTGTCCTCAATTCATCAGTCCAATTACAGCCTCCTTTCTACATCACCTTATTCCCCTGGGACCTGCCTCACCCCAAATTGGCCACTGTTTACCAAAACCCAGAACCTTTAGGAAACCTTTCCAAACAGACCAGAAGAGCACAATCAACCAAAGCCATCTTTTTAAATGAGGCCCTGTGACCTTGCCCTGACTTCTTCTACAGGATAGAGGTTCTACATATGCATTCTATAGTCCAAGCAGTGAGACTAGGAAGGACCCACCCCTGCATGTAATCTCTCCACAAGTTTGTATCCACACCATAAAGAACTCTAAGGTGATTGACTTCCTATTCCAAGGCAAACATTTAGGCTATGTGGTCTTAACTGGGGTCTGTCAGTGGGGAAGCATATAACAAATTGAGACCCTTCAGGATAATTAAATGTGTTTGATAGTATTTCTTTGCTGCCCAAACAACCTGATCATGCTGTCTGGAAGGGACAGGAAACACTAAGGAAAAACAAGTATTCATCACAGGCCAGCTCACCCAGTGCAAAACTCCCCAACATCTTCACAAAGAAATGAGCCCCTCACCCCATCCCAACCATATCCACTGAAAAGGAATCCATCATCATGGATCATCTTTCCCCAGCAGCCCCTTCTGTCCTGCTCCTGCCATCTTCTAGTTAAGCAGTGTGGCACCCAAGAGGCCTATTTACAGCTAATTAGATTAGGAGCTTCTTCATCTGGAAAGATATTTGTAGTTCAAGAAAGAGAGTATGAAGGGTCACTCTCACCGTTCCACAGAAACCAAGGGTTCTGAGCCTCACTCTGCTAAGGGACAGAAAGATGTTCCTGTCCCCCACCTCCTTCGCTTCTCTCCAAACATCTAAACCTTAGGAGTCAGGTTCAAATGGAACTCCATGGAAGACTCCAACTTAGAAAGGTCTCAAAGAAAAGCCAAGAGTAAATCATGCTGCTCCTCTCCCCCACCGACCCCACTTCAAAGGAGAAACAGTCGCTGCTTGAATTGCTTTGTTGCAAAGAAGGGGAGGTGGAGAGATCCTGGAGGACAGCAGCGGATGCTGCCCTCCTACCTCTTCCCCCATCTGTTCGAGAATGATTTCCAAAATATTAAATGCTGCATTTCACTGAACCGGAATTGCATGATGGGTTGGGGAAGGAGGTGGAGGGAGAGAAGCGATTCTGAAATACAATTTCCCAAATGTTTATTTTTCTCCTGAAGACTGTTGCCTGTCCTATTATAAAATCTTCGCACGACCCCTGGCAGGCTGTTGTCTGTAGGGTAAGTAGGCACAGATTGAATTTCGTGCTGTGTCAAGGACAAAATGAATCCTTAATCTGGCAGCAGAAAATGCATATTCACCCGAGAGCAAAGCAGCTCTCGTCTTTCAAGCCCCTACACTTCATTCCTTTTTGAGATGATTCTATCAGGTTGGGCTACTCTTTATTACCCACAAACAGGCAAGATCAGAGCTATAATCTACTCTCACTAACCCGCCTTGCTTCCCACTCTCTGGATTTATCAGGGCACTTAAATTTTCCACTAAGCATAAAGGCAGACTTTCATGGAGTGCCTAAAATATGGAAATTATATCTGAGTTAACTCCAAAAATATTTAAGCATTAGAGTACTTCTTATTTTTTTTTTCAAGATGAGGAAAGTCTATTGTTTAGTAAAACTAGACAAAATTACATTTTCTGCTCCTTGGACACTTCACAGGCTAGCAGGCTAAAGATGCTACGTGGTGAGAAGAGAAACCTCCATCCTGGTTGCTTCTCATTTATTGTCAGGAAAAGGAAATTATGTCCACACTGCTGAATTCTTTTCTCCCACAGTCGTCAGGCCACCAGAGACAGAACGTTCTTCTGTTCTCTTTCCCTGTTCACGAACACAGGCGAGACAGGCTGTTCCCGAGCTCTGATCGTTCTAACACCCTTCTCAACAAGCTCAAGGTGAGAGTCTGGGTCTCCCAGGTGCCAGTAAAGTGGGGTGCAATCCCAAGTTCATTCTTCTGAAAGCATCCATCATTTTAGCCCTCGCTGTCTTTGAAGATAATTAAAAAGCCAAATACCCGTTGTTATGAAAAACTACAAGACGAAATTATTTTAAGCCCCATACTTCTGAAAGGCATTTCTAATTACCCAGCCTACATGCCTGCCCTCCCAGCAGTTTAGATGGAGATTTCCGCATAGTTAGGCAGGGAGAGTCTGTCCACACCTGTGCTGGAACAACTGGAGGATAATCTTTTGCCCTCTGGTTAATCATATCTATCATTTTGCTTCACTCTTTCCCATGTTAGGCCATAAAATGGGTCACATGGAACTAACTCATCACCGGGTAAACACTTAGAATCTCAAGTCTATCGGGATATAGAAAGAGAAAATATATTGGCATTTTAAAATAATTTTGGATAGTTAGGATTGATTGCTGTACTCCTGTCATTCATTAGTTTTTTTCAACTAATTCCTCCTGTGCTACTTCTTAGGGGGTTGTGGAAGGTGGATAAAAGCTGTAGTCAAGACTGGCCTCTCCATGATTTCCTGGGGAGTTATTACGGAGGCAATAGGTAGGGGTTAGTCAGAGGGATGGGCTAGACCATAATTCCTAGAGGAAAATCAAGAGGAGCATGTATGAAGTACAAGGTCCAAAGACTCTAGGGGCAGAAATTTAGGACAGCATTCCCATGCCAAGAATTCAAATCCTAATAGATAAAGAGCTCAAAATAAAAGAGATCAGGAAGTAGCGAAGAGGTCATGATCTTGTGTTGGTAACATGTATTTGAGAGCCAGGAAGAATGACTAGATGAATCAGGCTTTTTGAGTCAGCTCTTCTCAAAAAGACTAGTGATTAGTCAGGCAGGGTAAAGGCTCAGCTACCATAACAAAGAGTCCAAAATTCAGTGACTGAAAATGTCCTGGATCTAAAGTGGCTGCTCCTGGTCCTGCCATTTCCCACCTGAAGTAAGAAAAAGGACCAACTAAAGACATACTTCTCTGGGGAGAACTTGGCACAGAAGTGGCAAAGACCTACCTATATATCTCTCCCAGATTTCTCTCTCTCTCTCTCTCTCTCTCCCCCCCACCCCCACCCCCCCACTCCATTATCTAGTCACATGGCCACACCAGGCTGTATCAGAGACTGAGATCAGTCCCTCACTAGGAAGCCACATGCCCAACAACCACAACTCTATTATTGGATAGAGAACATAGATAAGAATGGACAACCGGGGCTTTCATGATCAAAGTTTCTAGCCTCAAGGAACTTCAAGTCTAGTTGAGAATATAAATAAGCAAATTCATAATAATAATAATAATAATTCAAAGCAAATATTAGCAGGTCTTTACCAAATGTATTTAGCATTATCTCATTTTAATACATGTTATAGCTTGAATGTTGGTGTCCCCGCAAACTCATATTTGGAAGCTATTAACCAATGCTGACAGTCTAAAGGGGTGGGGATCTTTGAGAAGTGATCAACTCATCAGTTTCCACCCTCATGAAAAGAATTAGTGCTCTTATAAAAGAGATTCCAGAAAACTCTCTTGCCTTGTTGCCATGAGAGGATCCAATAATAAAGCATTACTTATGAAGCAAACAGGGAACCCCCACCCCACCAGACACTGAATCTCCTGCTGTCTTGATGTTGAACTTCCTGGCTTCCAGAAGAGTAAGCAATAAGCTTCTGTTGTTTATAAGTTACCCAGTCTAAGGCATTTTGTTATATCAGCCCAAGCAAAGATAATACTAAAAAGTCCCTATTATGTTGTAAATTTTATAAAGAAACTGAGACTTGGAAAGAGGGGCTACCCTATCCGAGGTAATAGAGTTAAACATGGAACCCAAATATAAACTGAGTCTGTGGGACCTAGAACAGTGGTCAGAAACTCTGACCCTGGCTTCTGTCCACCAATTTTTTTTTCAAGTAAGTTTTATTTGAATGCAGCCATATTTATTTATTTTGTATTGTCTATGGCCCCTTTCACATTACAACATCAGAACTGAGTAGCCACAACAGAGACCAAATGGGCTTGCAAAGCCTAAAAAATAAATTAGCTGCCATTTCCAGAAAAAGCCGGCCAACTCTGTCCTAAAGCCAGCAGATGAGGCGCAGTTAGCTAAACATGCACAGGTGGAGAAGGGACATGAAAGAGGAACCTAACAGAGGAAAGCGGGTGCTCAAGGAAGAACCCAAGAGGGAAGTTAGGATTTAGTTAGCTCTTGACTCATGAGTACCAACTGGCCAATAAAAACAAGGACTAGAAGTCTGAAGGGGCAGTGGTAGGTTCAGGGGATCACAGGTGGTGGAGTAGTGGAGGAGAGAGAGATGGAGGAGAGGCTGGAGAAGTGGGGGTGTTCCGTGGGAGATGACAGTGCGTAGCTACAGTAACCCGTAGACCAGCATTTTCTAAACTTGGACAGAATCTAGGGCCCCACCACAAACCAACTGAGTCAGTCTCTGTAGTTTAAAGAAGCTCTCCATGAGACTCCAGGGGACACAGAGAAGAGTGAGGAGGCGGGGCCAGAGGTTGTCGCAATGACCCAAGGCCACTATAAGTGTACATCCAGGAGGTTATGGCAGCAAGGTTTCATGTGACAGCCTCTCAATATAAGATAAAGAGAAGGAGAAGAAGAAAATGAAATAATTCCTTATGACCCAGACAGTGGGGAGTGAGCATGGGCTTGGTTATCAGGTGATCCCAGTGAGGTCTCCTCCCCACTCACCTCTGTAACTTGACTGTGAACTTGGGTTTCATCTGGTATCAAATTCCAGACATCGTTTCCCAGAAAAGAGAAACTACCCACACCCCCAAACAAATCACAGCCTGACTGCTTTAGAAACAATCAAACCTTTAAGTAACCAAATATCATGGGAAGAGTCAACACTGAGGATATTCACCTTTCCTTGCTCATTTGTGGCCCTTGGAGGAATTTATTTATTTTTTTCTATTTGAGAAATTTGTTTCACTGGCCCCATGAAAAAAATTGACTTGTGATTATCTTTGTGTTTGAAACTCTTGTTTTCTTTCTTTTATGAGTCTGTGTACAGTTCTCCAACCACGCTGGGAAATAAGTGACGGAAGGAATGGAAATCGGTAGAAAGAGTCCCAACTGCACAGCATGTACTCATTGGTATGAGGCAGTTAGATAAATGCATCCCTTGACTCATTCCTTCAATAAATAAATCATAGGTTTTGAGCTTAAGTAATAAATAATAGAAGAGGGGAAAGGGAGAAACTAAGAGAAGCTGACAAGGTTTAAAAAAAAAAAAAAAAGGTATATGAAAGCAAGATGATGAAAGGTTGAGTTTTTGCCAGCCATTCTGTCTGTATTTACTGGCCGTATTTTACTAGAATTCTTTATTTGACTATTTCTTCATTGCTCTTAAGTTTGTGGACTGGCGTAGGGTTAAAAATTAGATGCTATACCTTTTCCCTGAAAATTACTTATTTGGCTGAAGTTGAAGTTTAAATGTACATCAAATGGGCATAATAACAGACGCTGAGTTTGTTGTATGCTTGTATGTAGCATGTTTTCAGCTGCTAAATTTAGGATGATTTGTTATGTGTAAGTAGATAGCTGATGTGCGTGGTATTTGTTGGTCTTCTTTGGACATAATAGGATGACTTCAGTCTTGAGGTTTTCGTATGTGGTATTACAATGTTTGAGCTACTTTCCCCCTACTGCTCTTTGCCTAGCTCCCTCTTACTAAGACAGGACTCACTGTCTTAGTATGTTCTGGCTGTTGTAACAAAAATCTTAAGACTAGGTAAGTTATGAACAACATAAATATATTACTCACAATTATGAATGCTGGAAAGTCCAAGATCAAGACACAAATGACTTAGTGCCTGGTGAGGTTTTGTCTCTGATTCAAAGATGACACTTTCTAGCTGTGTCCCCATAAGGTAGAGGATAAAAGGGAGTTTGCCAGAATCTAAGTCTCAACTCTCATTCATGAGGATGAAAGCCCTAGTGTCTTAATCATGTCCCAAATACCACACCTCTTAGCATTCCCAGCATTGAGTACTAACCTTTAACATATGAATTTTGAGGGGGCACAGACCTTCTGACATTAGACAGTACTTTTTCCAAAATCTCTTTCCCAATCTCCATATGTAACTTAAGTGTCCCTTCCATGTACTGCCACAGCACCCTGGGGTTCCCTATTAATACTATAAACAGCCAACTTTTATTGAGCATTTACAATCTAAACTTTGTACATGAATTATCTTTTCTAATTCTTTCACCCAACCAATGAGATAAGTTTCATTACTAATTCACTTTTGTGGGTAATAAAATTGAGGCATAGAGGGGTTAAGGAATGTCTTCAAGGCCACTTGGTTGGGATTGTTCATTATCTGTGCCTCTTTATACTGTGAGTTCTATGAAAAAGAAGCCCACAGCTACCTGATACAATATTCGAGATATTCAACAGAGGTGCCCAGTGCAGACTAATCCTTTTTGTCCTCAGGGTATTTCTCTCTCCCTGTGTGTGTACACACCCCCATGCATGCATGTGTAAGTTGTAATTTATAAGGCCACAGAAATCTTCCCTCAATGTGAGATTCATCTCATACACATGGAATTATAAGGTTTACAACTCAAACTCACAGAGTTAAATTGCTTTCTTGAAGTTGTCTGTTGCAAAGCATTAGTTTATAAGAGCTGTGCTGCCTAATCTAGTTAGGCCTGAGATTGCACTGGCGGACTCCAAGATGCTCTATTCTCTCTCTGTTCTCCTGAACTTCATCTGCAGTCCTATGGAAGGCAGAGCTCCAGGGTGGCCAGTGCATGTAAGGCCCAAAGGGGCCCTGGCATTCTGAGTGATGTGTGAGTATGTAGGGTTACATAAAGCCTCCGTTTTTATCCTCCAAATATTCATTCTGCTCTCTTTATAGATGATATTGCGCTTCCATAAAAGAGAAACAGAGAAGGAAAAGACGGGGGCAAC